CATAATTACATATCTACATACATACATACATACATACATACATACATACATACATACATGCATGCATGCATGCATGCATGCATGCATGCATGCATGCGCACATACATATTTGTACATACATACATGCATGCATGCATGCATACATACATGCGTGCATGCATGCATACATACATGCATGCATGCGTGCATGCGTGCATGCATGCATACATACATACATACATACGCATGCATACATCCCACTCATTTTCCTCCTCCGCGTCCTGCCAACTTCAGTGTTATGTGCGTCCTCCTCCTCCCTCCCTCTGCTCCCCCTCCTTCTCCGCCACCTCCTCCTCCGCCTCCTCCTCATCATCATCCTCGCCCTCATGCTCGCCCTGGCTGCGCTCACCACGCCTCTTCGAAACCCATGTCTCTGGACTGGGTCTTGCGGACCAGGGGGCCCGACTTCTCCCACACCGTGCCGTCCGGGAAGATGAGCCCGCCTGTGGGGGAAGGAGGCACAGGAAGGAGGAGGAGGAGGAGGAGAACGACGACGACGAGGGGGAGGAGGACAAGGGTAGGAGAAGGAGGAGGGGAGGAGGAGGAGGTGGAGGGGGAGGAAGAGGAGGAGGAGGAGGAAGAGGAGGAGGAGGAGGAAGAGGAGGAGGAGGAGGAGGAGGAGGGGGAGGAGGAGGAGGAGGAGAAGGAGGAGAAGGAGGAGGAGGAGGAGAACAAGGACGAGGAGGAGGACGAGAAGGAGGGAGAGGAAGGGGAGCAGGAGGGTAGGAGAAGGGGGGGAGGGGGAGGAGGAGGGTAGGAGAAGGGGGAGGAGGGGGAGGAGGGGCAAAGGGGAGGAAGCTGGTGCGAGCTATAGCTAGGCACCTGCGGCACTGCACATGGCCTGCCCGACCCATAGCCACAGGGTCGTGCGCAATCACTACCAACGCTGGGACCGCGGGCGCTGCTGAAGCGCTCGGAGCTGGTCGGTCCCCGCACGGAGCGGAGACCTCAGGCCGAGCACAGATCATTTGTACGGCCTGGCCTAAAAAATCACATGAGAGCTTCGTGTTGGAGATGGTGGCTTCCAAGGAGGCTACCGCAACCTTCGCCACCTCATACTCCTGGGCTCCCAGCTTGGCAAAGAAGTCGGCCCAAGCGTTCCCCAGGAATCTCCAAATCTCGGAATGCGGAGCCCGGTCAGCGATCAGCTGGTCCAGAGTACGGTGGGCAGGGGTCCACTCGAAGCTCGGGCGCTCCTGCTCCCCCAGCCCCAAATTGAAAAACTTCCGCCAAATAGAAGCATGGGGCGACAAACCCTGTCCGAGGGAAGGGTCCCAAGAAGTACCTTCCCTGACAAACGACAGGTGGTCGCTGATAATATGGACGGGAGCCGGCGCTATACGCACAGCTTCGAGGCCCGCCCACCTCTCTCCGCGCGGGACGGTCTGAAACCGACCTGGCAGGGCCCCAAATCTGGCTCTCAGAGGCCACCCTTCCTCCGACAAGTCAACAACACTCCAACCACATCGGGTGGCCTCTGGGACACTGCTGAATTGGCCCGAGGCGTCGGTGAAGAGCACGCGCCCCCACTCGCCGTCGGAATCACCCCACGTGCAGATAGGAGGAAAGGGAGGAGAGAGAGGGATGTCAATAGGGATAGATTGCAGGCCATAGATAGCCCCAAACTCGTCCCAATCCCCCGATTCGGCTCTCACGGCCATGCGGTGCGTCCAGATATCTTCCGGGAAGCCCGCACTAGGGTCCAAGTCTTCGTCAGATTCGAATGCCGCCGAACAGTCATACAGCTGATGCCCCATCGTGCCACGCTCACACGGGCAGAAAGAACATGTAGCCGAAGGCGCCAGACCCGCGTCAAATTTACGCGCCGGCGGCCAGAGGGCTTCAGACCATAGTGCACGGACGGATCCTTGCCTGGCCCCTGGCGGCTGAGCAAGCAGCCCAATTCGTGCGGCCCTGCCCCAGACCACGTGGCCTCGGGGAGATGGCAGAGTACACGGCGCCACTGCCATCGCGCAATGCCCTCCCTGAGTAGTCCACGGACCTCGCTGGGAGACGTCTGATACAAAGAGATAGCTTCGCCGGTGTCCGAAAGCAATACGTGGGGCGACGCCATGTCCCAACCGACCCGGCGAAGAGACAGTAAAACTGCCGAAATGGGTCCGAAACAAATCTTCCAGCTCGCCGACTTGTTCGCTTTTTCTTTGATAGCGGACCAAGCTGTAAAAAGAAGACTGGGCTGCGTGAGGCCATCCCAGACGCACGCACAATATCGCCCTACAAGCGGACATGTGGCATCGAAAATCGGATCGTAAAACTGATCCTTCTGGGTGGCAAGGAAGGCCGTCAATGAGGAGAGGCCGCCCTTCGCCCCCGCCAGCTCCCCAGCGTAGGACCGAAGAGAATTGAGGGTAGTATCCGTTACACCTACAACGCCGGCGCAATGGCTGCCAGCAGGCATGAGCCCAGTACGCCACAGAGCTCTAACCTTAACACCCCCAACCCTCCTCAAAGCCCGCAGGCGGCCCCGACGACCCCAAATCCCCCGGAGTCTCTTCCTCTCTAGAGCTCTGTGCGCCACGCCTCCTCCGAAGGTGTCGTGGCCGAGGTTTCGGGCATGTTTGAAACGCTTCAGCCTGGTCAGCATAGCCACTTTCTTCAAGGCCCGCGACGCCTCCCTAGAAGTGGCTAGGTATCCTGACTTGCCAACGTGCAAAATGAACCCCAATGGCCTAACAAACCTAGTAAAAGCTTGCACAGCAGAGAAGATACTCGATGCCTGCCGCGGGTCCGCGCCAACCCACTGGAGCGAGACGTCGTCCATGAGACCTCGCGGAATTATGAACTCGAATTCCTTCTTGAGCTTACTCAGAGGCCTAAGCATGATCACCTGCAGAAGCGTCGTCGCATGACAGCAGCCGGCAAGTACTCCTTGCCACGAGAAGAAAGGCAAGCTTAAAGAGCACCTAGTTGAAATTTGCCGAGGCTGCTGGTACAGACAACACAGCATCCACGCTAAACGCAAAGGGAATCCTACCGCAGCAGCCTCGGCAAGCAGGACCTGGAGAATGATCATTTCGTAGCATTTGATCATATCCAAAAGGACCGAGACACAATGCAAACGTGTATTCCTAGCAATCTCCGAGGAGGAGGAGAAGGACGAGGAGGAGGAGGAGGAGCAGGAGGAGGAGGAGAAGGAGGAGGGGGAGGAGGGGAAGAAGGAGGAGCAGGAGGAGGACCATCCTGGCTGGCCCCGACCACCCACCCGACACCCATGGGCGTCCAGGGGCCTCCGCCCAATGGGGGGGGGGGCGGGGCGGGAGGAGGAGGGAGAGGAGGCGCTTCCCCGCTCGGGCGTTGGGCTCGGCTGTCTCCGTCGGCGGCGAGCGAAGGGGGAAAGTGAGAAGCAGAAGGCCTTCCCGGAAGGCGGTGGGGCTTCCCAGAAGTCCTCCGGCCTCCTGGGAAGGAGTCTGTGTCTTCGCGGAAGGCTTAGGAAACTTCTCAGAAGGCCGGGGGGCTGCCGAGCCTTCTGAGAAGGCCCGCACCTTCTCGCTTCCCCTGGGCTCGCCGCCGATTCTGGGGTAGCCTCCATCGAAGCCGCATCCCCTTGCCGCTCGGAACCCTCCGGGAGCGCTGCACGACAGCGAGGAAAAGGAGGAGGAGGAGGAAGAGGAGGAGGACGACGACGACGACGACGACGACGGCAAAGAAGACGACGAGTAAGCGGAAACACGAGCACGACAGCGAAAGTGAGGCGGGCGTGGACAACGACGGAGACGACGACGGCGACGACAACGACGACGACGACGACGACGACGACGACGACGACGACGACGACGGCGACGACGACGACGACGACGACGACGCCGACGGCGGCGGCGGCGGCGACGGCGACGACGACGACGAAGGGAGGGGAGGAAAAAGGAGGGGGATCAGGAGAAGGAGTAAACGACGACGACGACGACGACGACGAGGACGACGACGACGACGACGACGACGACGACGACGACGACGACGACGACGACGACGACGACGACGACGGGGACGAAGTCAAAGAAGGGAGTGCGCGGGACGAGGAGGAGGGGCAGCATCAGGCCAGGGGGGGTGTTGAGACCGCCTTGGTTGCCAAGGCTCGGGTCGAACGTCAGCTTGGCCAGCTTGCTGCCGCTCTTCGAGGGCAGGTCGACCGCCATCGTGTTGCCGACGCCGAGGACGTTGCTCTCAACCTGGCTGGCTCCACAATATTTTACCCCCTCCCTCCACGATGTCACGAGGAGCGTCAGGCCAACAGTCTGTTGCTGCTGAAGTGTCCCTGGCCCAAGGCGCCCCCAGGATCTCCCAGGAGACCCCCGCAGACCCCTCACGAGGCCCGGAAGGCCCCAGGGACCCCAAACTGGCGCGGGAAGCTGGGGACAGCCAGGGTCCCGTTTAGCAATCCCTGAAGGAAGGAGCCCACGCACCGAGCGATGACTTCCAAGCTGCAGTGAGCACGCAGCACGCACCACACGCTCATTACCTGTGACTTGATGCACTGGCATCCAGTCGGTCCAGCATCGCTCGCGGCTCAGAAGGCAACGCAGGCTGCCAAAGCCAAAGTTCAGGGGCAGCGACGCGCCTCGTAGCAGCGACGCGCCTCGTACTAGCACCACTTGGGGGTCCCAACACGGTGCCATGACAGACCGTGAGGCGACCTCGAAATCACAAGAGACATCACCGCACGGTCCGTCACCCCACGGTCTTGGAACCCTGGAAGCCTCAGTCGCCTGAGGCATCCTCAGAGAAAGACCCAAGTCCCGAAATCGCATACGTACCAGACGAGGAACCTGGCTGGCTCCAAAAAACCCGAGGGCACTAGCGCGAACCTCCCTGTTGGCGGGGAGAAAGGAAAGGGCCCACATCCTCTTCCCCTCCTCTTCCTCCTCCTCCTCCTCCTCCTCCTCCTCCTCATCCTCCTCCTCCTCCTCCTCCTCCTCCTCCTCTTCCTCCTCTTCCTCCTCCTCCTCCTCCTCCTCCTGCTCCTTCTCCTCCTCCTCCTCGTCGTCATCGTCGTCCTCGTCGTCCCCGTCGTCCTCGTCGTCCCCGTCGTCCTCGTCGTCCTCGTCGACCTCGTCGTCCTCGTCGTCCTCGTCGTCCTCGTCGTCGTCCTCCTCCTCCTCCTCCTGCTCCTCCTCCTCCTCCCTTCCTCCTCCTGCTCCTCCTCCCCTCCTCCTCATCCTTCCTCCTCCTCCTCCTCTCCTCCTCCTCCTCCCTCCTCCTCCTCCTCCTCCTCTCATCATCATCATCATCCTCATCATCATCATCATCATCATCATCATCATCATCATCATCATCATCATCATCATCATCATCATCATCTCATCATCCTCATCATCATCATCATCATCATCATCATCATCATTTCATCATCATCATCATCATCATCATCATCATCATCTCATCATCAGCATCATCATCAGCATCATCATCATCATCAGCATCCTCCTCCTCCTCCTCCTCCTCCTCCTCCTCCTCAGCAGCAGCAGCAGCATCATCATCATCAATTCTCATCATCATCATCATCATCAATCAATCATCATCATCATCATCATCATCATCATGATCATCATCATCTCATCATCATCATCGTCGTCCTCATCATCATCATCAGCAGCATCAGCATCTCATCATCTCACCTCATCGTCCGTCATATCATCATCAGCATCATCGTCATTATCATCATCACCATCATCACCAGCATCATCCATCATCATCATCGCATCATCATCATCATCAGCATCGTCAATCATCATCATCAGCATCATCATCATCATCATCATCATCATCATCATCATCATCATCATCATCATCATCATCATCATCATCATTATCATTATCATCAGCAGCAGCAGCATCATCATACCCCTCCTCCTCCTCATCATCCTCCTCCTCATCCTCCTCCACCTCCTCCAGCAGCATCCGCCGAGCTCCCCCAGACGTCCCATCCAGGCGTCGGGAGAGAAAAACACCCCGTGCCTGCGGGCCTGGGGGGGGCGTCTTTGGACCACCGGACTTGCAAAGAACAGCCCAGGGCGAAAAAACGATCGCGGGGATGTTGTCGAGAGCCACGGGGCCCACGCTGTGAACAAAATGCGTGACGTCCTGGTCTGGGCCCGCTGGCTTCCGCCGAAGACGCCTTTTCTGGAGCGTTCCGCCTTGCCGTCCATGTACCACCGCTTCACTTCGTTGGTCTTGGAGCAGATCTTCTGCCCACGCTGGCTGCTGCTTGTGCCGGAGATGAGATAATCGGCCCCGTTCTTCTCGATGGTGCGCTCGCAGCCCGGGTGCCCAGGGTCCTGCAGGAGGACGCTAGCCCCCCACCGACACTGGCCCGTGTCGGGCCAATCCTGGGCCTAGGATGGGCCTGGCCAGGATCGGTGTCGGTGGTCGCCCAGACCTCCGATGACTCGGTACTTCGAGCCTCGGGGCCCTAGACCTCCTCGACCCCTTTTGCCGGGGGTGGGCTCTTCACCCCGAGTCGCTTGGCTGAGGGCACCGAGGGGCCCGAGAACGGCCCCGAGGGGCCGAAGACGCGGAAAGACTGCAGACTCGATATGGTCGACTCTCTCCTCCTCCTCCTCCTCCTCCTCCTCCTCCTCCTCCTCCTCCTCCTCCTCCTCCTCCTCCTCCTCCTCCTCCTCCTCCTCCTCCTCCTCCTCCTCCTCCTCCTCCTCCTCCTCCTCCTCCTCCTCCTCCTCCTCCTGAGTAGACGGCGCGGTCCCATCCTCGTACTCGCCCACCCAGCGGACGTACCCTGCCGATGCAGGCGGGGCACCTGCCGCGAGGGCCGCGGGGCCGAGGAGCAGGCCGTGGGCGAGCGCGCCCCGCCTGCTCGGGGCGCGCGGCGGAGCGGGGACGAAGCCGCGCGGGGGCGCCCTCCACTGCGACGAGCTCAGCACGGCGAGCGCCACGGACGCCAGGAGCCGACGGAGCCTTGCCGCGGAGCGCGCCCACACATGGGGGAACGAAGAACGGCATCAACATCATGACTCGGAGGTCCGCGCGGATCTCTCGGGCCTGCGCCGGAGGCGCCGTCAAGGGGGGTCAAGCACCGATCCGAGAAATCCGCGCGGACATCCGAATTCTTGTGCTTATGTCACTGCTCGTTCCCCTACTACAGTAGGAGCTCGGCCACAAGAAACCTGCCACAAGAGACCCAACCCTGAGACCCCAGGGCGTCCCTTGCTTTTTGGTGCGGGAGCGCCACGCCCTCCATAGCAGAGCCATCGAAGCCCAAGGAAGCCAGGGCACCCTGGAGGCGCGCAGGGTGTTTCTTGGCACGGGCTTCCACTGCACGCCGCCGACCGCGGCCGGCCAGGGCGAAAGGGCCCCGGCACGGCGCAGCTCGCCCTCCTGGCCGAGGCCAGGAGGGTCCGGGCACCGCGCCGGGGCCCAGGATGGCCCTGGTCAGGCGTGGCGGCGATGGTGGTGCACGGGAGCGCTCCGCGCAAGCCTGGGAGAGGCCATGGCAAAGCTGGCCCGAGCTTCGCGAGTGCCCTGCCGACGAGCTCGCTGCGGAATAAAACTGGCCGATCCAAAGGCTCGGGCCAAAGCGGCGTCGCCTGCGGACCGGGCACAGCAGGGGAAGACGGACACGGAGGAGCAGCACAGTGCAGGGAGGAGGAGCGGGGAGGACGGAGGAGGGACGAAGGAGAAAGGAGAGCGAGATGAAGAAGGAGGAGGATGTAGGATGCGGGAAGGAGCGGAGAAGGGAGGACGGAGGAACGAGAAAGAAGGAGGAAGGAATAAGGAAAAATGGGGGAGAAGGAGGAGAAGGATGAGGAAGAAGAGGAAGGAGGAACAGGAACAGGAGGAGGAGGCGGACGAGGATCGGATGATGATGCTGCTGATGATGATGGTTAGGAGGGAAGGAGGACGAGGAGAACGAGGAGGCAGAGGAAGAGGAGGAATGAGGAAGTGGAGGAATGAGGAGGAGGAGGAGAAGAGGAGGAGGAGGAAGGGAAGCTTGATACTCATAATATTCCTCCTCCTCCTGCGCCCCCTCCTCTGCGTCATCATCATCATCATCATCATCATCATCATCATCATCATCATCATCATCATCATCATCATCATCATCATCATCATCATCTTCATCTTCATCTTCATCTTCAGCAGCAGCAGCAGCAGCATCATCAGCATCATCACCATACTCCTCAACCTCGTCATCATCATCATCATCATCATCGTCGTCATCATCACCATCATCATCATACTCATCATCATCATTATCATCAGCATCATCATCACCATACTCATCATCGTCATCATCATCGTCATCATCATCGTCATCCTCATCACCATCATCACCAGCAGAATTATCAGCATCATTATCGTCAGCTTCATCCTCATCATCATCAGCAGCAGCATTATCATCAGCATCATCATCAGTACCATCGTCATCATCATCATCATCATCAGCAGCAGCAGCATCAGCATCATCATTATCACCATCATCATCGTCATCATAGTCATCATCACTGCCAGCATCATCAGCATCATCATCATAATCAGCATCACTATCGTCACCATCGTCACTGTTCACCATCACCATATCTCATCATCCGCGGCATCATCATCAGCATCATCAGCACCACCATCACCATCTTCAGAACCATCACCATCATCATCGCAACCACCACCATCATCAGCATCATCGTCGTCGATTACCTCGGTGTTCATACTCCACACCCGCCCATTCGTCAACACCATCATCATCATCATCATCATCATCATCATCATCATCAGCATCGTCATCTTCATCATCATCGCCACCCCTGCCGTCGACATCATCATAACGTAACATGCTAGCATCATCAACATGATCAGTACCATCATCGTCATCATCAGAATCATCAGCTGCATCATCATCAGCATCATCGTTAGAATCATCAACGTCATCAACATCATCATGATTATTGGCATCATCGGCAGCAGCAGCGCCATCATCATCACCACCATCATCATCAACATCATCATCAGCATGAGCATCATAATCATCGTCAGCATCGTCGTCGTCCGCGGAAGTAATATCGTCGTCCTAATCGCAAACACCATCGTCGTCATCGACAGACAGTATGATCATCATCAGGAGCAGCAGCAACAAAAACGAGCAGTGATATACAACTCGATCTCACGTGCTCGTGTGACAATCTACATGTATATCCCAAGCCATCGATACCCGCCCTCTTCGTCGTCGATCGCTCCCCCCCTGGAAGTATATCGTCCTTGCCTGCCACGTGTAATTGGCGCAGCCCCTAAAACAGGGAGAAGAGGGAGACGGGGAAAAAGAGAGAGCGAGGAGGAAAGTAGTGCGGGCAGGGAAGGGAGAGGGAAGGGGCAAGTGGAGGAAGAAGAGGGAGCACGAGAGAAATTAGAAGGAGAGAGGTTGAGAGCAGGAAAACAAGCGGCGGAACCAGACGGGCGCGTCGGGCAAGCGGATCGCTGAAGCGTGAGTCCTGCACGAATCACGAGGAAATTTCTGGCGATAGCGCGATTCCCACGTAAATCGTGAAGAAGTCAAGAGCGAGAGCGCGATTCCTGAGTGTCGAGGGCGCGGCATCTGAATAAATTGCGAGGAAGTCCCAGGCGAGAGCGCGATCCGTTGGCAAATTGCAAGGTCACGAGGGAGAGAGCGATCCTTCAGCAAATGTGGAAAACGAAGAAGACGGAAGCCAGTGTTGTTGTTGCTGCTGCTGTTGTAATTCGAAGGCTAACCAGCCTCCGACACGCCCCTAAGAGGCCCCAGAATTCCCGCAAGAGGCCCCAAAAAGTTCCGAAGAGGCCTCCAAGAGGCCCCCACCATGAGGCCCCAAGAATCCAAGAAGCATACAAGAGGCCTTCTGCCTACGACCACGCCACGGTGGCGGGAAGGGCCACAGGCCACTGCGTACACGATGATGGAGATAGATGAAGGGAGGGAAGAGAAACGGAGTGGGGGAGGGAGGGAAGGGAGGGGGGGTGTAGCAAGCGGTGAGGATCATCGAGAGACATAATTCACCATCACCACCACTGGAGTTGCCATGGAGATGCCCCGGTTGCGATAACAAGGAAATGTGAAGCTTGCCGACGCTGGACCTCCCCACACCGGCGCACAAGGCGCGCCAGTGGGGGCGCCAGAGGTGCCGCCACGGGGGGGTCCTGCGCCGACCAAAGAAGTCTGCGCGGACCTCCGAATGTTCACACCCTGCAGGAAGAGGAGGAGTAGGAGGAGGGGGAGGAGGAGGAGAAGGAGGAGGGGGAGGAGGAGGAGGAGGAGGAGGAGGATTAGGAGGAGGAGGAGGAGGAGCAGGAGGAGGAGGAGGAGGAGGGGGGGAGGGGGGAAAGGGGGAGTATGCCGCGCTTACCCCAAGCAGTGCTTGCACTGAGGGGTTCTCACTTCCTCTCACGGCAGCAGGGTGAGTGTCCGGGGGGTTCGCCTGGCGAGCGCCCGCGGGCGCTTCGTGGGCGCCTCCTGGATGGATGCGCTGGAGGTCGCCCTGTCGGCGCCCACGGCGGCTCCTCGGACGCCGGGTGGCTGTGTAGGCGTTGCGCTGGGTAGCGCCCACGGGCGTATCGTAGGCACCTCGCATGGAGCGGGTGTGTCCGGGTTTCGCCGGGTGGGCGCCCGTGGGCGCTCTGTGGGCGCCTCGTGTGCTAGGTTGTGTGCGCACGTGGGCGCCTCCTTGGTACCACGCGCGCAAGCTTACATGACGTAGGTTGCACCACATGGCTTGCACCACACAGAGTGCACCTCATAGGTTGCATAACATAGGTTGGACCACATAGCTCACACCACATACCATGTATAGCTTGCACCACAACGTGCACCGCAGTGAGTGCACCACACAGCTTGCACTCCATAGTGGGCACCACATAGATTGCACCTCAGAGGTTGCATAACATAGATTGCACTAGACAGCTTGCACCAAATACCATACATCACGTATCTTGCACCACAGCAATTACACCCCATAGCTTGCACCACACAACGTTCACCGCATAGAGTGCACCACACAGCTTGCACACCATGGTGGGCACCATGTAAATTTCACCACAGGGCTTCCACCAAGCTTGCACCACGCAGCATCCACCACATAGGTCGCACCACATAGATTGTACCGCTGCACCACATGGATGCACCACACAGAGTGACTCACACGGTTCGCACCACACAACACGCGCACACACGTATATATAATATATCTAAACTTTCATACATGCATACATACATACATACATACATACATGTATACATACATACATGTGCGCATCCATACATACAAACATCCAGACATACGTGCATACGTACATATTTGCATGCATGCATGCATACATACATACGAACATACATATACACATGCATACATCCGTACATGCACATACACATACACATACACGTACACCTACACAAAAATACCTACATGCATACATGCATACAGGCATGTCGTCATACATACGTACATGCATGTATGCATACCGACATGCATATCTACATGCATGCATACATACATACATACATGAACGCATGCCGGAATATATACATACAGACATACATACCTACAAACAAACATACATGCATGCATGCATACATGCATGCATACATACATCCAAACATACATTCATACATACATACATGCGTGCACGAATGCATGCATGCATACATTCATGCATGCATACATGCATAATGCATACTTACCTACCTACATACATCTATGCATGTATGCATATGTACATGTCACACACAGTCATGCATACATCCACACATACATGCATGCATGCATACATACATGCGTACATACATACATACATACAGACATGCATACAAGCAAGCAAACAAACGAAGAGAGGTTGCTGATCCAGAGGGCAAGAACTCAGAATTTGGTGACCACGCTGGCAACACAAATTCTACAGCAAGGGGTTCTACTCCCAGGCCCCCTAACATAGGTGCTGAAACGACTTCTTTGCTTGAAGGGGAGGCCGTCCTTGGTGCTGGCCTTGGGCGCACCGCCAGCCTTGAGCGCGCCGCCAGCCTTGGGCGCAGGGGCGGACGTGGAGATGGTCGGCTCCGCCGCGGGCGACGAGACGTTGAACGAGCCACTGAGCGCGGAAGCTAATTGTTTTTCCTCCTCCTTATCCTCCTCATTCCTCCTCTTTCATCATCAACATCGTGATCGGCATCATCATCATCGTCATCATCATCATCATCAACATCATCATCAACATCACAATCGTCGTCGTCATCGCCCCCATCGTCATCGTCATCGCCGTCGTCATCGTCATCGTCATCATAATCATTATTCTTACTATCTTCGTCATCATCATCAGCATCATCACCAGCAGCAGCAGCCGCAGCAGCAGCCTCAACCTCAGCATCAACATCATCAGATTCACTAGCAGCAGCAGAATCATCATCACCAGCAGCAGCATCACAGGCATCATCTCTCCTCACGCATGTTCCATCATCATCATCCTCATCATCATCATCA